ATCTGAAAAACTATACAAATAATAAAAGAATTCAGTAAACGCACTACACAACAGTAATGTGCAGCAATCAATAGATAAATAACAATTACTTCAGACATATATAAATAATGCAAAAACTTGTTATATTTATAGTAACAATAGAAAAGATAAAACACCTAAGAATTAAAATAATAGGAAATGTGCAAAGTCAATATGAAGGAAATGGAACAAAACTTGAAAAAGAAGAAAGGTATGCCAGGTTCTTTGATAGAAACTTACCATGATAGCAATGTCAAAATAAAGCGTTATGTATTTTAAGATCAGTACAGTTAGACTTCTGTTACTAACAGCCAAATGAAATCACAAATGACAGGGAAATAGTCTTGTTTCACTTTTTCTTCATAACTTCATTCTCCACCAGCTTTTTATATTCGCTGATTTTGTCTCAAGAGTGTCAGTCATATGGCGATATATGGGCTCCCCACTGGCCGAAGCCAGGTCAAAGGTTTAGAGAGGCCTAATCTCTGGTGGTCCAAGCCAAGCCCACCTTTGGACTGCCAGGCCATGGCAAGAGAACACTCCCCAGCTGTTGCTGTCTTCTGGTTCTCATGAACTGCCCTGAGTACCTTGAGTCCTCCTTTGTCTCATACACACACGTACACAAACACACACATTTACTTTAGGAACACCCATTTCCACATGACTCCATCTGGACCATCCTGGAATTTATTAACCTTGTTGATAGAATCATTGCTGCACAGTAAGGGTGTTCTTCTCATCAGGATCATAGTTAAAATTGCAATTTCTATTATCTTCAACATGTCACCAGCCTATTTTTGGGCTGTAGGCTTTTTGACACCATTTTTACATATCTCTTACCTCCCAGGCATTTGCAGTTTTAAAAAATACCATTGCTAATTATTATTGCTAAAGAATTCTATGTATTAATATATATTAATATGTATATAATCAATAAGTAAGACAGGTCATTTTTTTGGTGGGAGAGAAGCTGCTGCTGCCGCTGAAATCTTGTGTGGCTAGCGTTGCGGGGCAGGCAATCAAGTTCATCAGAAAGAATCTTCCATTTAACACAGACCACACTCTCTTTGAAGGCTGTTCCCTGACTATTCCTAGAAACAGCGAAGATCTCTCTTGGCAGAGGAGGCTAGATCTGATTTTTAACTGTCTTTCCTTTTCTTTCTTCAGAGCCTGGCAAGTGCTAGAAACTCAATAAATGCCAAATGAACAAATGGATGGGATTGTGCTTTCACCACCCTATATCCTGAAGCCTAGAGAGCAGGAAAAAGCTGCTTAAAAATTTTCTAGAATCAAAGCACCACCAAGTAGGAGCAGTACATTGGAACAGTATAGGAGGTTTTAGTTTGGGGGCAATCATTTTTAAGGTCTCTATTTTTCAGCATGCAAAGGTTTCAGAGCCATATTGTTTTGATTTGTTTTTTTAGAGATGGTGTCTTGCTCTGTCACCCAGGCTTGAGTACAGTGGCACGATCATAGCTCACTATAGCCTCAAACTCCCGGGCTCACGCAATCCCTCCCCACCCACCCTCTCCCCACAAGCCTCTCTGAGTAGCTGGGATTACAGGTGTGAGTCACCATGCCTGGCTAATTTTTTTTTTTTTTTTTTTTTTTGTTTTTAGAGACAAGGGTCTAGCCATGTTGCCCAGGCAGGTCTCCAACTCCTGGCCTCAAGCGATCCTCCCGCCTCGGCTTCCCAAAGTGCTGGGATTACAGCTCCATTCATGTTGTTAAATGCTTTCTCCACTCCGCTTTTCCCCCGTTTTCTTAAAAAAGAAATTAAAACATTTTTTGGGGGGGGGCTCTAAAAATTATTGTAAGCCCTAGGCACTGAGCTCTGTGCCTAATTGATAAGTCAGTTCTGCTTGGTGCCTGGGGGACTGGTTGTTAATGTTTTGATCATCACCCCTGGGTAAGAATTACATTGTACATCAGAAGACTGAAATGCTTACAAGTAGGCCAGGTTTGAAGTATTTGTGTGGTGAAGCCTGACTAGGAGACACCCCCTAGCCGCTTTCCCAAGAAGTTGCTGTGTGCCACCTCGCCTGGATCATTGCCCAGTATTGCCAGACGTTCCCATTTTTCAAGAAAAGCTGGAAACACTGAATTTAACATAAAATCTCTCAATTTAAAAACACTAGCTCAAACTTTAAAGAAAAAAAATCTCCCCAGAACTAAACAAAACACCTCCGTGTATTTGGCATTGCTTTGTAAATTCTGTTGAACATAGTTGCTGCAGGGAGAAGACTTAAAAACAAATGGCAGGTGTGGGGACTAGCGAATGAACACATCAGGAGGAGAAAAATAGCATGGTTTTAGCGTGAGTGTAAAAAGGTAATACTAATTGCAGTAAATTGTATGATTCTTACCAATGTGTAGTCTCTTAGCAATAATTGTGAGTCTAATTAAAATTTTCAGGTTCTGTAAAATTGCATTTGGATTATTTTCATGTTATCTCGCCCTCCTTAATTTGTAGTTTGAGTAATGGGCCAGAATTTCGTGACTTAAATGTGTTAAGTGGAACTGTGCTCATAATTGTGATTTTGAATTTTTAAAAGTGTACTTAATTAGGTCTTAATAAGGCCTATGTATTACTTATAGTCAGGTCACATTTGTCTGACTTGCTCTAGGGAATAAGTCTACATTCCTTTGTTTTTAACTCTTTAGGGGTAAACGTTTAGTAAATTTTTTTTTTTTTTAGACAAGGTCTTGCTCTGTTGCCTGGGCTAGAGTGCAGGGGTGTCATCAAAGCTCACTGCAGCCTCTGACTCCTGGGCTCAAGTGACCCTTTTGCCTCAGCCTCCCCAGTAGCTGAGACTACAGGTATGCATCACCGCACCCAGCTAATTTTTTAATTTTTTGTAGACCAAGTCTCATTATTGCCCAGGCTGGTCTCCAACTCTTGGGCTCAAGTGATCTTCCTGCCTCCGCCTCCCAAAGTGCTAGGATTACAGGTGTGAGCCACGGTGCTCAGCCTTAGTAAACATTTTTAAAAGAAGTAGGACAGGGGATTTGACTGAAAACCTGCATATATTCACTTCTCAGTGACAAAATCAGCCTGTGGCATTGCCAGAACACCACTAGGCACACCCAGTCCCATTCCTTCTCCCTTCATCTCAGCTGATGATTTTGCTTTCTAATCTTAGACTATAAACAGTTAAGATCTAATGTGATGAGCTCCTTGAATAGGAAAGTATAGGTTCCTATGGAAACAGAAGCAGGGTCTCTGACTTAGGCTTAGTGGCAGAGGAAGTGACATCTTCAGTAAGAGCAAAAAATTGTTTAGACTTCAATTATAGGTCAGGGCAGGAGTGAGGGAAGAGGCCCAGAACTGAAAAGTCATGACAGGATCCAAGATTGGAAATAAATTCAATTGGATTGGAGATTGCAAAGCAGCATTCTATTTTAATTTCACGTAAAACACTTGTCACTTTCTGATCATTTCTTGTTTGCTTTTTTCCTTGTTTATTGCCTGTTCTTCTATCCCCATCCCCTCATACAGAACAGGAGACATAGCCTGCAGATTCTTCAGTGATTGGCACGTATGACTGTTAATCTTTCCTGAGGGCCAACCACGTATCAGATCCTGTCCTAAGTACTTCCCTCACACTCCACCCCCACCAACCAATAGACAAAATTCTACTTCAGAACTGGCTCAAATGCTTTCTTCTCCGTGAAACCTCCCCCATCTCTTCTCTCCACTCCTACTCTCAGAATTAATTACTTATTTGAGAGTTCTCTCAGCTATTGATCCTTCCTTGCAGCATCAATTAAATTATGCATAGTGTTAGCTTGCTTTTTCCTGTCTCTCCCATTGCTCATTAAGTTTTAAATCATGTGAAGACAGTGCATTTTTATCTGTCTCCGTAAGCCCTATAACACTTTAGGCAGGCTTTTATATACAAAACGGGGCTCAAAAATATTTTGAATAAATAAATTAGAGAGAAAGGGCCATGAATGTCCTCTATCCCCATCTCAGTGCTCAGACCAATCTTTTAAAACAAAAATATGACCACTTCAATCCTGTTGAAAACCAGTCTTCATCTTCAGGATAGAATTCTTAACTCCTGAGCACAATGGTTAGCTCAGGGCCCTGTGTTAACTTGTTCCCATCCATCTGTCCAGTCATGACCCTCCCCACACCTAATAAACTTCAACTGCTTATGGTGTCCTGCACAACCGGCTGCGCTGATTCACGCCACAGGTTTTACTTCAACTACTCCCTCTGCCTGGAATGCCCTTTCCACTTTCCTTGCCTGACTCGGTTCAGGCATGACCTTCTCAAGCAAGCTTTCCTAACCCAGATCCTGATTAAGAACTTTTTTTAAAAAAGTACTTAGTACAGAAAAGTTTATGGTGCCTCTTCATTTATATGATTAAAAAGGAAAATACTAAAGCGTAAAAGGTAATTTTTAAAATGACACACAACATGTATGCTAGATTTAGAATGCCATCTGTATTTTACGATTTTCTCATTCACTGTCTCTCCACGTACCCATTTTGCAGACGCCCTAAACAGAGTGTCTATCGGTTCACCCTCAGATTGGGTCAAATTCTCCTCTTCTCTGCTTTTCGACCACAACCCTACCTCAACATTCACCATCTTAATATGAGCAGACTGCAGGTTTGTCTCTGCCACCAAGATGTGATCGCCTGACCAGCCGTCAGCTCCAAACGTATTTTTCTGAGTTGAAGTAAAAGCTCTTCCTGGGATAGACAGTGCATTTCTTCTTTAAGGAGCGGTTCCCTTCTCGCCCAGGAAATACAACTGCCTCGCATTTATCAAGTGTTGACGCTGGGATAAGAAAGTGATATATCAGGAGGGACAAGGAGATTCTCTAAATTCCCAGGCCCGATAACGCTACCAGACACCGAGACTCCCAGGAACACTACTGGAATGGACTGGGTTGGGGAAGTTACTGACACCGGAAGTCACGTAGTGCGGTTTCGCCAGAACTCGCTATCTCGGCAGTCGACTCTTCTGCCTCGCAGGCGCCTCTGGCGGGCTTCGCAGAAATCAGCTCTTTCGGTGCTCGACTCGCCCGTGCTGCTGCCGTCGCCGAAGGAGGGGCAAAGCTCAAGATGGCGGACAAAACGCCAGGCGGATCTCAGAAGGCCAGTTCAAAGGTAATTTCTTAGAGGACTTCATAAGTCAGTGGGTCTATCACGGTAGTCTGGGGCCTATAGATGCTTCTGGCCTAGGAGAGGAGACTGGGGTTGGCGTCCGCGTTCTGGTCTCGACGGTAGGCCCGGGCGCCGCCGTACTGTGGTGCGCAGGTTGAGAGGCCTGGTGGCTCCCCTTAGTCCCAGCCTGGATTCGGCTCGAGACTGGCGTGTCCAGGAGGTGGTGGCCTGAGTATTTCTTCCCGCGCTTGACATTGGAGTGATCAGGAATTCAGGGTGAGGTCCGAAGCCGTGAAAACGCGCCCCTGTTTCTCAATTTGCTGCTCTCTGAGGCCGCCGGGCAGAGTGCCTGGGAGAGGCGGGAATCGCTTCCTAGCGCTTAAGTGCTGCTTTTTTCTCAGTTCTTTGGTTTCCGATCTCACTCATTTCCGCCCTCTCGATTTCTTTCATTCCCTCTTGGGACTAAAATAATCTCTGAGGTCGCTAGCTGTGAGGGAAGGCCCATTAGTGGAAGGATGCGGGGTGGGCAGTGCTGAGGCGGGAGCACCTCTCCTTTGCAGTGGTGCGTAGCCAAGGTTAATGCTACACACTTTACACGTGGTCTTTACCTCACTTTAGGGGAAGTAAAAAATGAAGCAGTTCTCTTTGAGGGTCCAGGACTCCATGTTGAGTGTTCCACTGAAAACAGAACTTCCGTAGACTTGGAAGCTACCTAAGATTAGTAAATATCATCTGCGTTTAGAGGGAACCGTATGCACGTATTGTGAAACCAGTGAGTTGTAGAAGTCGTTTAGAGTTAGTAAGGTTGTGCTTATCATCGGGTCTTAGTTGCCATCTTGGGCGAGTTATTTAATCATTTATGGTTTTGAGTTTCTCATATCGAACACGATATTAAAAGTAGTAGGCGCTACCAAGACGTATTAAGCTTTTTGATGCTGATGCAAGAAGGTGTGTAACGCAGGTTCTGGGGACTTTTACGTCTTAAAGAGTATGTATGATTATAAATCAGTTTTTAGGAAGTTAAGTTTACGGTACGAGTAGAGAGCCTTGCGTTTCCAGTTTGTTCTGAGAAACATAATAACCCATTTTATAGTTGCTTTCTAATAATCTGAATTTTTACGGCTTTTTGGTGAATGATGTTCGCTAAATAGTTTATAATTAGTAATGGCCTTACCAGACATAGTTACGTAGGAACTGTGGTAGAGGGCCAGTTTTGACTGTTTTACATCATACCTTTACTCCATATCAGTTTTTTCCCCACCCCAGTACATTTCCCCACTTCCCTTTCCTCTCCGGAGAGGGGTATAGGAGGATACCTCATTCTGCTTACTCTTAACAGATTCATGACAAGGAACAGCCCCACTTACTGTTAGGGAGCTATTACTAAAGTGTCCTCTATTTGAGGCCTTGGATACATTGAAAACATTTCAATATATACGTTCAGGCTTCCTTCTAAAACAGTACTCAGATTGTGAACCTTGTGACTGTGCCCTATAAGTAAATTATTGGATTTTCTAGTACTCTTTTCCATTTATATTGCTTTAGATTATATCTGTTGATGCCATTAACAGATTTATTACTGATGCCTGTAAAAGGAATCAAAATATCTTGACTAAAGTAGTATTGAAGTGATTTCTCCATTAATATGGAGACTGCATAATATAATGGGAAGATTATGGATTTCCATAACGAGGTTTGGGTTCAAATCCTTGACTTGGTAGTTATGTTTTTGATAATATTAAGGCGAATTGCTTAAACTCTAAAGCCTCAGTTTTCTCATTTTTAATAAGAATATAATTCCTTTTTACAGGATTGATGTAAAGATTAAATGAGTTAATGTCTATAAAGTCCATAATCTTGGTTCCTTTCCCCCTTGCTTTTTTTGTTCTTGGAAGAAATAAAAAGTACTTAGTTTTCAAAATGTCAGAATCAATTTTAATCTTGAGATTTGGAATCTAAGTCATCAGCTATTGTAATGACTGCCCAGATTGCTGCTTTTTATTTCTAACACGAGTCCAGAATTTATTAGAGAAAGTGTAAGATCATTTTGGCTAATACTGCAGTACTTGGCCTTTCTAGCCATTGATCTCTCTGGTTTGATTTCCCTTCCTCTGGAGAGAACAGATAAGGGGTTTATATTCTACAGTACAGATGAACAGATATTTCTGTTTCATGATTCTTCTTCAGTAGTTAAATTCCCATTGATATGGATAGGGATGTTTATTAATCATATTTCTAGACATTGAGGAAAATGCTAATTTTAAAAGATACAATATGACAAAATCATTAACATCTCTTAATTATAAAATAGATGAAATTAGAGAACCTCTACAGTTCCTTCTAGTTTTAAAATTACATTTTATGTATGTATAGTCAAATGAATTTATGCTTAGTTGTTCCTAGTAAGGAAAACCCTGTGCCCTTTTATTTTCTGTGTAATTTTGCTGTACTTTGTATGGTAAAGCCTAGCAAATGTAGACATTCAGTAAATGTTTTAGAAATGAGATAAAATTTTCCTACGCATTTATTCCTATTTATCATTAGACTAAAATATTGCTTGGTCGGGGAGGGGTGTTGATGCCATGTAGCTTTGATTTTGAGAGGAGAGATAGCCTATAATTGTTTGCTTATAAAGTTGTTAAACATTTTTCATTAGAATTTATAAAAATTTATTATTTTGACTTTAAGAATTGTTTGCTCAGCAAAATGAGGATGAGAAGAAGGTGATATTTTCTTCTGTGTCTCCTGTGCTGTAATGTTGGTAATATAATAGAATTGTATGCCCTTTATTTCACTCTCTCACTGTGCCTATACAAAAATGGCAAAAAGCAATATTGTCAAAAATTGAGTTAGAGATGTGAATGGATAAAATGGAAAATACTACTGGCTTCTTCAGACATCCAGTGCTGAATTGCTTTGGGAACTATTTTGATTGACTGCCTTTGTTGAATAACAAAAAGTATCACTTTTAAGAAATAGGTAAAATGAGAATCTGTTCAAGGCTTGTGATGCTTAGATATTTATTACAGCCAGTTTTCGTTTTTTGTGGTACTTAAAGATTTAAATATGATAAACTACAAACAAAACACAAACCTTGAAATTTAGGCTCTTTTTGGTTGCCAGTTTTAGTTTAAACTGAGTCTTTATTATAATCTGGTTGAAAATTTATCTTAAAATATAAGGTGGTTAGTTTTTTGGGTGGAAGGTGGAATTATGAACTTCCATTTTCTTGATTGGTCCTTCTTAGAAACTTGAATCTGCAGCATTGGTACTAGAAAATGACTCTTGATGTGGTTAAAAAAATTCCTATCTTACTGGATTGAATAAATTGTTTTCTGTAAGTCTAGTTTTTGTTTTCCTTTGGTTTCTAATTCGGAAGCTTTGTTTTCCCTGGAAAGTAAATCTAAGAAAGATATCCATTTGCCTTATTGGCAAATGAGAGAAGGGCTCATCTGGTGTGTGCAAGAAGTTGAGGACACCTACCCCTCTACCCTTTTTTACAAAGAGCATCATTTTTGAAATAAAAACAATAACCTGCTACAAGATATTTAAATGAAAAACAATAATATTACAAATTACTTGCCTCTTATTCTAACTAGTTTTAACATTTTATTCCACACCAGCCATATTTTGCAGAAAGCAAGATAGATTTGCCAATAGCACTTGAGGCTAATGGTACCTTTAGATATGTCTAACCCTGAGGAGTTAAATGTTTCACTAGGCCCTTCCTCATGTTAGATAAACCACAGGATATTCATAATGTACTTACAACTTTTCTTATAGTGTTGTGGATGTAATTTAAAAAATCGTTTTAGTTGGCCGGGCATGGTGGCTCACGCCTGTAATCCTAGCACTCTGGGAGGCCGAGGCGGGCGGATTGTTTGAGCTCAGGAGTTCGAAACCAGCCTGAGCAAGAGCGAGACCCTGTCTCTGCTAAAAATAGAAAGAAATTAATCGGACAACTAAAAATATATAGAAAAAATTAGCCGGGCATGGTGGCGCATGCCTGTAGTTCCAGCTACTCGGGAGGCTGAGGCAGAAGGATTACTCGAGCCCAGGAATGTGAGGTTGCTGTGAGCTAGGCGGACGCCACGGCACTCACTCTAACCTGGGCAAAGAGTGAGACTCTGTCTCAAAAAAAAAAAAAAAAAAAAAAAAATCGTTTTAGGTTTTTTATGTAACTTACTATACATAGTGTCGTCTTAATCTTACAGAGTTTTTTTGAGAGATGGAGACCTTTGTTTGGCTTGAATAGTGATACTAAGCCAGGTAGCTGCTACTTGTTAATGAATGGAGAGCATAGTATGTTGACAGTGTGAACTGTAATTTTGTTTGGTAGATACTTGTTATGACAAGTTCAGTCAACAAGTATAATTGGAGGCTTTGTCATTTGCCAGATCTTGTGTTTGATATTAAGGTAGAACATGTTAAATAAGACTTTACCCATGTTTGGGGAACATGCTATCTAGTAGAAGAGAGTAAACGCATATGATACTACAAGGCAGAGCTATTAGAAGTATCTAAAAGTTCAGAGAAAGAAGTAACAACTGTTTGAATGGAGGATGGGGAGTGGGAGGTCTTAAGAGCATAGTGGAATTTGATTGAGTCCTTTGAACAATTAGAGTTTTGAAAGGCAGAGATAGGGGTATTAAAAATAGATGGGTGGGCGAGGTGAAAAAAGTAAATTTCTGGGAAATGGATTGATAAATAGTCTGGTTTAGCCAGTGCATAGGGTATTTGCATAGGGAATAAAAGGAGCTGAGACTGGAAGGGTAAATTCAGACTAAATTGTGGAGGCCTTTGAAGGCTAGGGAATAAAATTAGAGAGCCATAGAAAATTTAAGGCAAGAAAGTTATTTAGGAAATCTATTCCAGGGGCATAGTTTAAGGGAGAATTTGAGGGTGAGGAGGACGAGAGGTTATTGCAGTAGTGCTGTTAAATATTGAAGATTACTCCAAAAATCTCACCTCAGATCCTTTTCTGGGAAGCTTTCCCTAACAACCCACATCCACCACTTGCCTCGTTAAGATTTGTCTGCCTTCCGTGCTCTTGTGACATTTTCAGATTGTTTTACTTGTCTCTTTATTAGCTCCTAGAGGCAGGAGCTATGTCTTATTTTACCTTATATCTTTAATACAAGGCACAGCACCTGCCTAATAAGAGGTGCCCAGTAAAGGGTTGAATAAAGGGAATATCTGAACGACAGTTATGTCTTTGGAAAGGAAAAGAAGGGTCCCCATGGAAGATCTGTTAGAGGTGAGATGAACAGGATTTGACCCGGGGGATAAGGAAGGAGTCCAAGACAACTCTGTTATAATGCTGCTGCTGGCTAACACTTAACGAGCAGTTACTAAGTACCAGACACTGTTCTAAGTGCTTTACCTGTACTTGCCCTTCACAACAGTCCTATGAGGCAGGTGCTATTCAGCTTTACAGCTGAAGAAAGCAGGCTCAAGATTACACAGCTGCTGAGTGCTAAAACCAGGAAGACTGATTCCAGAACTTATGCACTTAACATTTTACTGCTTCCAGATTATGATCCAACATCAGAAATAAGAAGGGCAAGAGGAGAAGCTAGTTTGGGAGAAATTTTAGTTATGTTGGATTTGAGGAGCTTACATTCAGGTGAAGATGTCCAAGGAGGCAGTTGGAGAACAGATTGAAATCCAGGAGATGACCAAGAATGCAAGTTAAGAACTGGAAATCATCTCAGTACAATATAGGTGTTGATATGCTTTCTGTGGGAGAGATTGTTAAACTTACAGAGATGAAAAATAGAGGGTTAGAGGAGAAAGAAGACATTTAGGAAACAGTTATGGGAATGGAGCACTCTCTAGGCAGAATGGTGGTGTTGGAGGAATGTTGTTGTGGATAGCTTGCTAATTTGGAAATTCAGGTGTGGCACTTTCACTTTTGAAGTAAAGTAGGGGCAGCCAGAAAAAAATTAGTTTTGTTCAGAGCCAGCAAGATACAGGGCCATAGGGTATAGCATAGTTGACTTCACCTTTATCCCCTTCGCAGCCATCAGAATGAGCCTTTTTCCTTTTGGATTTTCTAGCTGTCCTTCCCCACATGTGTGATACCTGCCTTCTCTGCCCTAAGATAAATTTCTCTTGTGTATGCTTCTTTATTGCCTCAAACTTCCCTTATTCTGCCTTTTCATTTCTTGCTTTTGGGTCTTTCATTTGGATGAGGAATTGTGCTGTAGACTTAAGAAGATCTTTAAGCATCATTAGTTTGAGTTCTTCAGTTAAAAAAAATAAAAACCCAAACTCAAGACAAATACTATAGTTCAGTTCCAGGTTAAGAGGAAAAGGCTCAGCTTCAGAAATAGTGCAGCGGTCCCCAACCGTTTTGGCACCAGGGACTGGTTTCATGGAAGATGATTTTTCCATGGGGTAGGGCAGAGCTCAGGTGGTGATGTGAGCAATGGGCAGCAGCTGTAAATACAGATGAAGCTTCGCTAGTTTGCCCACCACTCACCTCCTGCTGTGCGTGCCCCCACTTCCTGTTTCATGGAAGACAGTTTTTCCACGGATGGGAGATGGGGTGGGGAGCAGCGGAGCTCTGCGGCCTAGGGGTTGGGGACCACAGCAGTAGTGTTATCTTTATTGTTTACCTTGACCACCAGCTTTAGAAGTTGGTTAGTCTTTTAAAAATCTTATTAACTACTATTTGCATCTCTCCAGTTGTTCCTAAAAAAACTCCATTCTGAATGCTATGTATCAGTGGAAAATGTCTGGTTTGCTGTAACTGTTAGGGACATCTTAGGTTAGTTGAAATCAGCTGATACATCTTCCTAAGCCCTGCTGTTATTGCTCTGTTTGCAAACTCATCATATGGTGTTATTTGGAAAGCTAACAAAGTGCTACTTTTGAACTGATTACTTCTGTTTTAGAGATTATTTACCATTTTGGTGAATAATTATGCAAGTCAGATTGTTGAATATTAGATTACAGAGCTTCATCTTTAAATGACTTAGAGTCAGGAAAGATAACTGTGTGGACATAGGCAGAGTGTCTAGATTGTTGTAGATTCTTGTAGCTTTCTTTTCTTTTTAAATCCTAGAAGTGGTAATTTGTATGTGGTGGCATAGAAGATTAAAGAAAGGCTAACACTTCCTTAGCTACTCTTGTATGCTTATTCTTGGTGAACTTCAGAATTATTTTAACAATTCCCTTGCCACCTTGCAAAGATTTCCCTTTGGTATTTTGAGTCGTTGAATGGAATTGTATTAAATATTAAACAAATTTGGGTTATCACTGACCTCATCTTAATATTGTTTTTCCATCCATTAATATGATGAATCTTTTCAAAATGTGACTTGAATAACTGAATCTTCCCTAAAGTTTGTGTTTATTCACAAAAGTGGTTTACATTCCTTAAATTGGTTTCCATGTGTTTTATTTATACTTTTTATTGCTGTTATGATTAGGATATAATTTCTGTTACCTAGCAAGTTAATACTGGTATATTGGAAGGCAGTTGATTTTTTTTTTTTTTTTTTTTTTAGTCCACTCATTTACTTGACCAAACTTTTCTTTTGTAAGAGTTGTTGTTTATTCTCTTGGATTTTCTAATTTCTGGATATCTATAAATGGATGCATTTCAAGTGTTTCAAAGTGCGTTTCACAAAGTTAAGTTTAAATATAAAAAAAAATCTTCCTCCATACCATCTTGACCTTTACAGAAGATTAGCTAGGAGAAGAAAATGAATGAGGGGGACACAACAAAAATTGGGGACAGAAAAAAGAATGAGATGGGAACTGTCTCAGTGCTTAGTTGTCTTACTCATTTTTGCCTAGGCTAGGGCTCAGTACAGTGGAGTTCAGAGGAGTTAATTGATTCAGTGTAAAAATCTGACCAACTGTTCTGAGCCATATGTTTGGACAAGGCAAATAAAGCACTACTGCATGGATCCATATTAATCTTCCTGTATTTGCTGTTTGCTGTGACATACAGATCTTAATTTTCTCTTAATTAATATATCTTGTGTTTATTTGAAATCTGGAATTGGGAGCTAGGTCAGGTGAGATATTTGTGATCTCAAGAGTCTTGATTTCACTTTTAATCTTAAATATAAATAAAAATCAGTAAAATCTCACTACCCAATACTATTATTTAGTTAATAGCCATGTAGCTTGTCTTTGTCCCTAGATGCATAGTGAAAAAACAAATTATTGTGTATTAATACTAGATGCATAGTGATAAAACAAATTATTGTATACCATATGTAATCTGAAATATAGATCAATTAGGAAAAAATAAGATGAAATTTTAACAGTTGACGTTGTTGGGAAGTACCATAATTTGAAGACTGAACTTGTTTTTGTGCCAACTGTAAAGCCTGGGGCATACTGAAGGAAAAGCGGTCCCCTTAAAACAGGTTGTAAATGGTGGCCTATTGGGAATTTGATAATAGTGTTTTTTTTCTTGAGCTATTTCTGCAGTAAAATTGTAGCTTTTAATAGACAGCAAGGTTTTATGTGTGGAATTTTTTATGTGGCTTTCGGTTGTTGGAGAAAGGGGAGGTTTCTGTGCTGTGTGCTAAGAAGTTGCTGCTTGGGCAGTATCGTGTCAGTAAACAACGTATGTATGATTAGGAAGAGCTTTTGCACAAAAATTCTGTTCTAAAAATGGTGGTTAGGTTTCCAATCTATACTATAAAAAGGTAACTGTGCCTCAGGTATATCCCATTAGCATTTATATCATATTTTTAGAAAAATGCGTTTTGAATTTTAAACATTATTTGTACATTTACTTTGAATCATAATCAGATTGGCCTTTCAGTTTTATTAGCTGAGAAGAAATTGCTAAAAATTAGGAAAGATTAGGTCTTTATAATATGAGATACACTGTTTTATATAATAATACATTTTTTGATCCTTTAAATATTGACTTTTATGTTTTATACTTTCAGACGAGATCATCAGATGTTCATTCATCTGGATCTTCAGATGCACATGTGAGTATAAAAGGCAATTTTTTATCTTTTTTTTCTTTAACATTTAATTTCTCTTTGTATGTGTCCTATGCCTATGATTTTACTTGATAAATAAATACAATTATATTGTATGTGCCTTTTTTCTTTTACCCTTTTTGCTAGGTGCCCTCATTTTTTTTTGTGTTCTATTTATATAAGTTAGCCCTCTCAAACCATGCGAGAAACCTAGTGTATATGTTTCCTTATTTTTTTATTGTGCTTATAAAATTCTGTGTGTATTTATACAGTGACTATGGGATTGCATTATACATACTCTTTTCTCACTGCGTGGTACACCTGTTTGAAATCCCTGCAGGTCAGCTGGCATATCTCTAATCTATTCTTACTAAAGGCATCATAATGTTCCATAGTGGGAAGGTACAATATTTATTAAGCTATTTCTCTGTTCATGGGCATATACTTTTTGTTTAAAGCTTTTGAATAATATTATGAATAATACTGCAACAAATATTCCTTTACATATGTTATTGTAACAATGTTCAAAGTGTGGTCTGCAGACCCCTGGGGGTCACTGAGAATCTTTCAGCGGGCCTGTGAGTTCAAATCTATTTTGTAATATTAATAATACTGAGACATTATTTGCCTTTTTCACTGTTTTGACATTTGCACTAATGCAAATGCATTTGGAGGTGCAAAAGCAGTTGGTGGGTAAACTGCTTAGCACTTTCCAAGGCAGTGACTCCAAAATGTACCAGTAGTCATTGTATTCTTTCTCCCCAGGCACAGTAAAAATATTCTAATTTCACTTAAGAATGGTCTTGGTAAAACAATAAAATTAATATTGTTAAGTGTTGACCTTTTGTACAGGTCTTTTTTAATATTCTGTCTATGTGATGAAGTAAGAAGTACATGTAAGACACTTCAGCTTACCAAAATGTGATGTTTGTCCTTAGGATAAGTACTTGTGTAGTTTTTTGTGTTTAGAACTGAAACTAGCTGCATTTTTTTTTTTTTTTTTTTTTAGCGAATACTGTTTTTATTGGGAATCACTGACAGACAAACTACAGTTAGACTTGGGTATTTGGCAGACATTCCTTTGAAAAGGAAAGACATCTGTTACTTCAAGGAAAACAACTGATACTGATATAAAATTCAAACTTTCAAGTGTAAATTAGAATTATTGAAAACTTTCCTACTCTTAAGGATGTTTCTGATGAATCAGAAGTGATATTAAGGGGTGTGATTTTTGATAGTGTATAATGAACTCTGTATTTGGCCTTGTTATTTGTAGTTTTCAGTACTATATATGTGATTTTTATAAAAACTTGTTTAACTTTTCCTGAAGATGGATGCATCTGGACCCTCAGATAGTGATATGCCAAGTCGGACACGGCCTAAGAGCCCAAGAAAACATAGGAATGAAAGTGCTCGTGAAAGCCTTTGTGATTCTCCCCATCAGAATCTCTCAAAAGTGAGTATTAGTAAAGATAAGAAAGGATAGCTAATGATTTTTATCTGTTCTTGATTGAATTTGGTTTTTGAATATCTTGGTTTTATACCTGGTTCATTTTATTCTATTTGAAAATAACATTCTTTTTGTGTTTGGGGTAATGATAAGCTCAAGTTCATGGAGGGAAATGTTTTTAGCTCATATGTAAGATATGTTTCATTAGCAGTTTTTACTTTTATTTTGAAAAACAAAGCATTTTTGGATGCAAAATGGTTAACTGTCAGATTTATCTTTCCCCTCTTATATCAAACATTTACTAAATCAAATGCCAAATACCAGATACTGGAAATATACAGATGATTAAAAACATAGTTCTTGGCTGGGCACAGTTGGCTCACGCCTGTAATCCTAGCACCCTGGGAGGCTGAGGCAGGTGGATCGTTTGAGCTCAGGAGTTCAAGACCAGCCTGAGCAAGAGCGAGACCCTGTCTCTACTAAGAAATAGAAAGAAATTAGCCAAACAACTAAATAGAAAAAATTAGCCAGGCATGGTGGTAGTCCCAGCTACTTGGGAGGCTCAGGCAGTAGGATTGCTTGAGCCCAGGAGTCTGAGGTTGCTGTGAGCTAGGCTGACGCCATGGCACTCACTCTAGCCAGGACAACAGAGTGAGACTCCGTCTCAAAAAACAAAACAAAACATAGTTCTTGGCCTCAGAGAGCTTAAAGTACCACCCTGGGAAGCAAACAGGAGCAGATGCTATTCACTGTGGTAAGGGCAGTGCCCAGGGCAATACAGGAACAGAAGAGAAAGAGCTTCTTTACTTCTGGATCTCCAAAATGCTCTCAGGCTGTTTTGGTCCTTTTTCTATGACAAATTTTTTCTTATTGTGATTATATTTGGAAAATATAGCATAGTCATCACCAACCATTATCAACCACTGATAACACGTTCTTTATTTTTCTTGTTTAATATTTCCAAGCAAAAATATGTTTAATATATTTTTACTTGGCTGAGATCCCTTTTATAGGAACTCATTTTAAAATATCCTGTTTTCAGTTCTATTATTTTTTTCATTTCAGCAAAAATTCTGTAAACAAACTTTTTAATAGATGATTCATTATGTTATTCCGTTGAGTAAATGCTCCATAATTTCCTTAATCATTTCTCCCTTAGGTGTCTAAATTTAGCTCTTAGGATATAAATAAAATTTGAGCATACACATTTTGTCTTTCTTTAATTGAATTTTTATATAATTTTACCACTTGTTTAAACTTTTGAATTTGAAACTAAAGACACTGAATGATGGCAAAACATTTTTCTTTCTACTTCAAGGGAAAAAAAATTATTTTGATCTGTTTCTGAAACCCAGTATTGACTTTTGGATTATAAACTGTTTTATATTTCTAAAAGGGATTTTAATATAACCTTAAAATAGTTTGCAGTAGTGCTACTCTTACATTCTGCATCTTCCAAGGACAAGCCTGTTTAATAACCAGGGAATTAATAAAGTCTAATTTTATAATTGGTTAACTTCTCATTTTGGTAGGAAAGAGAGAAACCTTCAGATCTCAATATTTTAGGCTATTTGTAATAAACCTACATTTTACGTTTATGAATCAAATGAGTGATGAAACAACTAATGGTCTACATAAAAGTTATTCAGGATATATTTCAGAATGAAATTACTTCTAAGTTATGTAAATGAAGACTTCATTAAAATACTATTGTCTTATATTTAAAATCAATTGATGTAGTTTTACTTGAGCTGGAACCTAAAATACTGTAGGTGATGTATTTCCAGCGATGAAAATGAAATTATGTTCATAAATACCAGTATTATTGGTGAAAAATGAGGTAATGTACTAAATTATAAAAGAAGTTATAAGAATTATAGTTGCCTGCAGTGGGAGTTATTGATGATATATTCCTGCCACTGGACCATGGAAATATATGCCTCCCTCTCCCTGTTTAAGGATCTGTTTTCTGTCATTGCACCTTATGCCTAGAAACATGGAGATGCTGTGTGTGTGTGTGTGTGTGTGTGTGTGTGTGTGTGTGTTCTAAGCCATGGTGTCTTTCTGTTTTAGTTGTACCTTTTTTTTTTTTTAAAAAAATGGCTTTTGCATGTTTTTGACCATGAGCTAGCAAATAAAGATGTTGTTTAATGAATACTTACATCAGAGTCAAGTCCAAGGTAGTCACCTGATGTGTAGAGTAGCCTCAGCTTTTCTTTACAATGAAATTTTAAAAAACAGTAGTGTGTTCTTGAAGACTTACCAGTTTAGATATATTAAAGCTATAGATAGCATTAAGAATGTGTATGTAAAGGTATGCTTTTTATTTCTTTTCATAGCCTCTTCTAGAAAACAAACTTAAAGCATTCAGTATTGGAAAAATGAGTACAGCTAAGCGAACTTTAAGTAAGAAGGAACAAGAAGAATTAAAGAAAAAGGTAATGTTTAAAATGTGTTTTGAATTGTCCTTGGAAATGAATGTGTCTAAAGGGCAGTAAGTATATAGGCAGAAGAGAAATGTTTCCCAAAGATTCTTCATGTCTAGGATATTCTCAGCTCCACCTCCAAGTTAAATCTATAACACAAGGTATATTCCAAGATGTCTAAATTCTATCCTTGTCCTCTCTACCGTGTTTCCATTTTTCTAATAATTTTGATTATTTTCTGGTCTGTTTTTGTACAAGAGTGTATGTATGTGTACACATACGCTGTGCCTGTGTTGTACTATATATAGTGTGCTATCGTTCATCTAATAATGCTGTCATTAGATGAATCATAGCATGCTATATACCATACACTTTTTTCTCCCTTTTTAAATGTAACATTATATCTTGGAGATTACTTTAAGTATATAGAAATATTCCTTTTTTTTTTTTTAAATGGCTATAGATATGCAATAATTTATTCAACTAAAATCCTATTGAGGTCATCAGGGTTTTTGCCATTACAAATAATGCTGTTATGGATGTAGTCTTATGGATATGTTTTTGAATTTTTTTGCTAGTATATCTTTGGGAGACACATATCTCTCCCAAATATTTATATGTGTGGTGGAGATTTTTTTTTTTTTTTGGAGACAGAGTCTTACTCTGTTGCCCAGCCTGGAGTACAGTGGCATCATCATAGCGCAAATCAAACTCATGGGCTCAGGCGATCCTACTGCCTCAGCTTCCTGAGTAGCTGGGACTACAGGTGAGCGACCACGCCCCGCTAATTTTTCTGTTTTTTGTAGAGATGGGGTCTTGCTCAGGCTGGTCTTGAACTTCTGAGTTCAAGTGATCCTCCTGCCTTCGTCTGCCAGAGTGCTAGGATTACAAGTGTGAGCCACCATGCTCAGCCTGTAATATATTCTTATAAGTGAAATTACTGGGTTGAATAGCAAATGCACAAAAGTAGTTTTTCCATATTTGTTATACTGTCAAATTGCTGTCTAGGTAGGGACATTTTTGCATTCCGCACAGCAGTGTATGAGTGGTCGTTTCCCCATAGCTCTGCTAAGAAAGGATGGTATCGAAGGAGTTTTGCCCATCTGCTAGGTGAAAAACGGTATCTTTGCAGTTTTAAATATGTATTTCTCTTATGAGTAAAGTTGACAGTTTTTCTTAAGTTTGTTTCTGTGAACTGTCTGCTCATATGTAAGCCATTTTTTTCTGTGAGTTATATTAACATTTTGTTATACAAGGTACAGTTTTTTCCCCAGTTTGTCAATTATCTTTTTTATTTTGTTTCTGGTTTTTTTTCCCCAAGCAAAAACTATCATTACATAATCATATTTATCAATCTTTCCTTATGATTTCTGGTTTTTCAGTTAAGTTTTTCCAACCACCACCTTGTAAAGGAATTTTCTCATGTTTTCTTCTAGTATTTATTTGGGTTCATTTTTTAAGAAGATCCAGTTCATTTACTATTTATTCTGGTATGTGGTGTAGAGAATAGATTAATTTTTATCTTTTTTTGAATAATTATCTCAACATCATTTATAGAAAGTTTATCTAGTTCCCACTGATTTGATATGCCCCTTTTATTGAACACTGAATTCCCACATGCTATTGGGTTTGCTGCTTTTTTTTTTTTCCTGTCGTGTACCATTAGCCTTTCTTTTCATACATGTTCTGGAAACATTTAAAATATCTATAATTGAAAACATCAAGGTTCTTCTGAGCTTTTTTTCTTTAATGCCACCTGTCAGGAGATGTTGCTGCTTCAACTTCTGTAATACTCATGTTTTCAGTGGTTTAAAAAGAAGTCTTTATATATTCACTGAATTAAATCCTCATGCCTTGGAAACTTCATAAACATTAATAGCATAATATGTTTTCGTATAATCATTTGTCATACAGTTGGCTCTTGAATTGCCCCTAGACAAAATTACTTGTTAACCTATATTTAGTGGGTTCTTTTCTAGTTCTACAAATTGCTAGTAGATGAGCAAAGCCTCTCTTAGTTTCAGTGTTAATCAGTGTCTAATATCTGCTAAGGATTAGATGTTATTACTTATTAGGACAGCTTAACCTGGGAAGGGAGGAGTTTCATCTACATTATTCCTAGATGAATTTAACCCTGTATACATTAATAATTTTTATATTATGTGACATCAGTATTTTCGTGTGTATTTAGGAGGATGAAAAGGCAGCTGCTGAGATTTATGAGGAATTTCTTGCTGCTTTTGAAGGAAGTGATGGTAATAAAGTTAAAACGTTTGTGCGAGGAGGTGTTGTTAATGCAGCTAAAGGTAGGTGTGAATATTATAGTCCTTGAGCAAACCCCAACTTGGTTGAATGACTCTTGGTAGATAATTATGGAAAGAAGTTTGGTTGCTTTTGAATGTCATATTTTCATTCAATTAGCACCCTCTAGTGGTTATATAAATTAGCAAAATAAATTAGTGTGAATTAATGATACTGAAGCCAGATAACTTTTAAACATATTTAGTCCCTTTGAAGTTTAAAGACAGTAGAGTACTTTGCAAGAATTTTAATATATTTTATAGTTTTACTATAGAATGATTAAGCTAGTGTTATTGAGGATAAGGTGGTAATGTTTGAATTTAATCTTTATACTGAAAGCATTTTACTAATTTTGCTTATTTTTAAATAAAAATAACAAAATAAAATGTATGAAATTAGTTTTAAAACTTACTATTTTAAATTTCAGAAGAGCATGAAACAGATGAAAAAAGAGGTAAAATCTATAAGCCGTCTTCAAGATTCGCAGATCAAAAAAATCCTCCAAATCAGTCTTCCAATGAAAGACCACCATCTCTTCTTGTGATAGAAACCAAAAAACCTGTAAGTCATACTTAAAAAATTCGCCATTTATGTTCAGAGATGATACTGCCAATGATTTTCTTAGTACTTCCACTGTAAGCAGGACTTTTGTTTTTAATTTTTCATTTTTTAGGGGGTAATTTGCTTAGGTGAGTGATATTAAATTAGAGTGGGACATGTAGGTAATACTCTTGTTATGCTTTTTAAGCAATGAACATTTGCTATTACTATGCTCATAGTATATTGCAAGTCAAAAATTTACTAAATTTTGAGTATAAATGTAAAACAGTGGGGTTGTCTCTTTAAACAATTCCAAACTGAGATATTTAAATTATTAGCATGTGTAGTGTGTGTTTCTAGAACATTTTTGAATTATGTTGGCATTTTTAGAAGAGGGATTCCAAAAGCAGTTTAAGAAGCAGTTTTAAAAAAGAAATTCCAAAGATTGTTTCAGTAATTTGTATTCTCCAAAGGTGATTGCTTTGAAGACTGCATGGTTTCGGTAGTTCTTTGTGACAGTTACTTTACATGGCGGTTCAGTTATTTTATGTTCATTAATTTTCCCCTCAGTATTCAGGCCTAAATATTATATGCCTTTGGGGGGATAAAGTTACTGGCTCCTTTATTTTGAGACTACTGGTTGTCCTTTTAATTGTTTATTTGTTTTAATAGTTTAATTGTTATTTTGGGAGAAGAGGACTAGAAGTCCAATGATAACAAGCATTCTTTCTTTTCAGTTTAAATAATTAGAACATATAATTGGCACTGAAATAATGATTTAAAAATGATCTTATTGAATCACTAGTTTTTGCTTAACCTTCTTTTGTTTGAAGTATAACTTGTTATATCCTTCATAGCCACTGAAGAAAGGGGAGAAAGAAAAGAAAAAAAGCAATTTGGAACTCTTCAAAGAAGAATTAAAACAGTAAGTTTTATAGTATGGAGAATAACTACCATAGGGATATTGAGCTGATACATACAGATGCAGGTATGAAGAGTATACTATACCAATTAGTTATTATTAACCAGCTTGCCATGAGGTTGTTTTAGATATTATAATGATATTTTGTGGGGCATGTTTGAAATTGAATTAGCATTTATCCCAGCATCTAGGTTGTTTGCATTATGTAGATTCACTTCAATTGGTGTATCTAATGTCCAGAGTCCTGTTTGCAGTGGAAACAGTGAGGGGCAGTCAAACTTAGCAAGAAACCACAAATTCACTGGTTTTTGTGTTGAATTTCCTCCTCACCTTAAAAGTGGGCTTTGTATTCCATTACTAGTATGATATAATTAGAAATTTGCTCAGGGTTCTGTTATAGCTGAGGGACTCTCTACTCTTGGTTATCAGTACTGGTGTTTAATTATAGATATTTCATATTATTCAAAGGGGGTACCTCGATAAGCTCGAATCTTACTAAATGCAACCAAACAAATTTTGGCAAAATTTTAGTGATTCTAAATATTTTCAACAGAATTCAAGAAGAGCGTGATGAGAGACATAAAACAAAAGGCAGGTTAAGTCGATTTGAGCCTCCTCAGTCAGATTCTGATGGTCAGCGTCGTTCTAGTAAGTGGCATTTATTTTAATGTGTTTATTTGTGATTGATTACAGTAATCATCCCATACTGTATCCTTGGGGGATATGTTCCAAGACCCTCAGTGGATGTTTGAAACTGGATAGTACTGAACCCTATATATACTGTGTTTTTCCCTATACATACAAACGTGATAAAGTTTAATTTATAATTAGGTACAGTAAGATTAAGAATAATAAGATAGAACAGCTATAATAATACCCTGTAATAAAAGCTATGTGGATGTGGTCTCTTTTCTCTCTCAAAATGTCTCATACTGTACCACAGGCAACAGAAACTGTAGAAAGCAAAGCTGCGGATAAAGGGGAGACTGCTGTATTCTCAAAACTAAAAATTGTTTTCTTTTCTCCCCTTTAAGTGGATGCGCCTTCAAGAAGAAATAGATCATCTGGTGGTAATACAGTTTTTTGCTTTTTTTAATCATTAAGAAATTGTTTAAACTTTATATTTTGCAGATTATAATTTTTTTTGTTCTTTTTGCCCTAGTTCTTGATGATTATGCACCTGGCTCACATGATGTAGGAGATCCAAGCACTACTAATTTATACCTTGGAAACATTAATCCACAGGTAATATTGGTAAAGTACAATGAATGTTGGCTCATATGCTTTATGCTTTTGGAAGAAAGCTACTTTGTCAGTTAATAAAAAAATCATCAAGATTCTGAAGTTGGCCAACCTGATGGGATTAGATAGTCTCTAAAATTATCTTGTAAACTTGAGACTGACTCGTGTGGCCAAAATTGTCTTGCTACAGATTCTTCAGAGCTTGTCTCTTTCAATAGCTGAACTGTACTCTGAATTTAAAATGTTTTACTAGGTGCCATTTTTATTATTTATCAAATTAGGGTATGATCAGTGATGGATAATCTTTTGAGACTACTCATTTTTGATGCATAACTTGTTTCCTTATGGAGTCCTTTTTTCTTTTTTCTCCTCAGACTAGTATTTGTGCTTTTGTCTTTTGTATTTTAATTCTTTTCCTAATTGAGTGCAGTTAATTATGGGTGATGTAGTGATTGTTACACATAATATACCCTTTTTAAAAATCATATATGTTTTGGGCCTTATTGCATATTTACTGTTTACTATTTTCTCTGCTCTTAATTACATTGGTAGTTGGAAAGAGAAAAGATGATTATATCCTTTTTTTCCTTTTGTTATGAACAGTTATTTCCTGTTTAATTTAAATATGCTAAACACTCCTGCCTGAAAAATGCTGCTAAATGCCCAAACACTATCACTGTAGAATAGCTTCTTTAGATCCCAGAACCTTAAAACAGGAAGAGGGAAAGTAAAAGTGAGTTTTGATTTCTCCAGCCTCCCTACCCTGACATCTTATTTAAGTAAAACAGAATGTTTCTGGTATGAAAAGATTTATGAATGTCCCATGAGGGCAGGGTTTTGCCTGTGGAGAATTCCTAGTATGTGAATGGAAAATTTTAGTATTAATACATTGTTTTTCATTTTGGAAAAACTACTTTGTTTTCTGGTGCATGGAATTATTTTTCTTTTCCTGTTTTTGCATACTGAAAACTCCTATGCCTTTTAACAGATGAATGAAGAAATGCTGTGCCAAGAATTTGGAAGATTTGGACCATTAGCCAGTGTGAAAATTATGTGGCCTAGAACTGATGAAGAGAGAGCAAGAGAGAGAAATTGTGGCTTTGTGGCCTTTATGAATAGAAGAGATGCTGAAAGAGCTTTAAAAAATTTAAATGGTAAAGTTGTTTTCTTAATTCATTTATAGAATTTAGACATTTCTTTGGTTCAGCAAAGTATTTATAAAAACTCCAGGAAGGAAATGGACCTGAAATGGAGAGGTTAATAATGAAAGTTAACTCACATCACCAGAAATATTTTCTTCTTAGAGTTACCAAAGTGACCTTTCTTTTCTTTCTTATAGGAAAAATGATTATGTCTTTTGAAATGAAGTTAGGTTGGGGTAAAGCTGTACCTATTCCTCCACATCCAATATATATTCCGCCTTCTATGATGGAACATACACTTCCCCCGCCTCCATCCGGACTGCCTTTTAATGCGCAGCCTAGAGAGCGGTTAAAAAACCCCAATGCTCCCATGTTACCGCCACCTAAAAACAAGGAGGATTTTGAGAAGGTAATTAAAAAAATGTACATAGGGCGGCATCTAATTTGTAAATACTAAATCTGTGGTAGTATTTCTTTTCAACAATTTTATAGAGAATGTGTGTGTAATTCTGTTTGACAAGTCTTAAAAGAAATAAGTAGATGTGTTCCCTGCCTTAGCCCATGGAAAACCCTGTATTGAAATACTAGGTCATATTTTTATTTGTGGCTACCATTCCTTTTTTGATCACTTGTTAAGTTTTTTTTTCCTTTGTCCAGTGTTGTATCCAGGTTTGCTTAAGTACAGTATCTAAATTTACTTTGTTCTGAGAAAGTCATACTTTGGTTATATTTGGTCATATTTGGTTAAGTGACATTTCAATTAGAAAGAGCTCCTAAATAGTTAAATTGTTTGGATGGCAGCTAGCTAATTTAGTTCTCGAGGTCTGAGGTATTAGAATATTTGAGAGCATGTGTGGCTTTTAAAAAATGGTTAACAAGGCCGGGCGCGGTGGCTCACGCCTGTAATCCCAGCACTCTGGGAGGCTGAGGCGGGAGGATCACTTGAGCTCAGGAATTTGAGACCAGCCTGAGCAAGAGCGAGACCCCGTCTCTACTAAAAACAGAAAATTTAGCCGGGCGTTGTGGCGTGCGCCTGTCGTCCCAGCTACTTGGGAGGCTGAGGCAGGAGGATCGCTTAAGCCCAGGAGTTTTGAGATTGCAGTGAGCTATGATGTTGCCACTGCACTCTAGCTGGGGTGACAGAGTGAGACTCTGTCTCCAAAAAAAAATGGTTAACTAATCTAGTAAAAGCAAAGGGTGAGTATTTTCTTTTTAATAAACTTAAGACCAACTTAATTTCAAGTTATAAGAATTTGTTGGTTCTATTATGAATTAATTACACTTAAAATGACAGGGCTGGTTTTAAAGGCTTGGGAACAAAGTAGCGAACTGTATGGTCAGAGGCAAACAGTTAATTATTTCACAAATTAAAATCTTTATCTGATAATTCTCAGTGTAGTACCTATTTCAGTGCATTGATGTGCATTCTGGCAGGAATGTTCTGATTCTTTGCATTTAGTGAACATTTATTGTTCACTGAACACATCCATTTGCATTTATGTAATTGCTTAGTGTATAATTACTTCAAATGCAGTGATTGCCTGCAAAACTTGTGATTAGATGTGTAGTATTTTCAATGCATATGTATATTTTTGCTTGTTACTTGTTAACAATACTCACATATTCTATGTTTATTATCTGATGTGACTTCATATACAGACTCTGTCGCAAGCCATAGTCAAAGTGGTTATCCCAACAGAAAGGTACATGTTTTTCTTTATTATTACTGATCTAAATATAGACAATATCCCCTTCTGAATTAAAAAAAAAAATGGTGTTGAGGAAAAGGTAATATCTTGACTGAGCAATGGTTCCTTCCCAGTAATTTTTGGGGGGGATATGTGAAATTTAACTAACTTTAGTATACTTTGTAATGTTGTGTCATTATCGTTTTCATTTTTATTGTTATCAATGAAGGGAATTTTGATAGCTTGAGTAGTTAGAATGTGTTTATTAGCTTTAATTTGGAGTTGTTGGTTTAGAATATTGTCATGGGAAAATCTTGTCTTAAAACATATCTTAAATTTGAAATAATGTTGTGGTTTGACCCAATCTGTTATTTTTTTCTTGTTTTCTGAATTCTCTATATTTAATATATAACCTTGGTTTGAGTTTTCCTTACTGAAGGCATAGCTTGGTTTTTTTCCCAATTGATTTTAAGAAGAAATTCCTGTTATTTTCATGAACACTGGAGTCCATACTAGAAATTTTTTTCATGGTAACAAAGGTGTTTGGAATTCTTTTATTTTTCTTTCTTCCTTTTTTTTTTTTTTTTTCCAACATACTGTTAAAACAGAAGACTTCATGCTCTAGGTGTGCTCTTGCTCAGTCAAGCTAAGCCTTTTCCCAAACACAGCAACACAACACTGGTTGAATAATAAATGAACACAAAAGAATACCAAATTCTCTTTGACATTGGCCTTGGTGAGCAACACCAGCTGAACTGTCTGCGGCAGCGGGGGACCAGGAAAACATCATGGGATGGATTGGGAAAGTATACAGTTTTTGACCAGACATTGGTACGATCGACTCCAATAAATGTGGTTTTATTATAACTGAGAGACAATTTTTTGTTTTTTTTTTTTGTTGTTGTTGCCCAGAATAAGATAATTACCATTTTAAAATAAAATAATGCACTTTAAGTATATCATCTTTTTGTACTACACTGCTTTGTTCTGATAGAAAAGTCACCATTTTTTTAAATAAGACATTAAACACACTACGCTTAAGGAAGAAGAGTGTGATTACAATTCTTTAATAATCTTGAAGTCAAGTTAGTAACAACTAATTGTCAGATTTTGATTTTAAATAATCACATGAAACATTTAAAAAATTCTTTTAAAGTTTCGATTTTCTTAAAATAGATTTTATCAGTTACAAGCCTGTTTAAAACTATAGTGTGTTTTTCCTCCACTAATAAAGCATTCACAGGGAAGTATTTCTGTAGCATTCAAAAAGCATATATCTAGTAGTAGCTTTACATGTGGCTCAGCTTATTTCTAAAAAAAATTTTGAGTATACATTTTGCTGAAAAGTCTTAACTCACCATCAGAATGAATCCTTTGGCTATGAACTTATTAAACCATTTTTCATCTATTTTAAATAGTGAAGTCAAGTTGCTTTTGACTTAATTCACACAAGTTTATGATGTATAGCATTTGTCCACCTAGTAATGAGTCTAATATATTGTGATACATAAAATTTCCCTTAGCTTTAATTGGCTTTTACTAGTGGGAGTTTTGAAACTGAATCGTAACTTTACGTTATCTCCCTTCAAAATAATGTCATTAACTATATAGATGCTGAGAATACATTCTTATTTGGATATCAAGGACTGCATATTTGCAGAGTAATTAATACTTCTGTGAAAGAAAAATAGTTTTCAAAAATTCAGTGATGTTTTTGGTTTTGTTTTAATAATTTGAGGTTGAATTAGTTTTAAATGTGTAGTTTCCCCTTTGTAAAGATTTAAACTGTATATAATTTTTTGACCTCTTTTAGGCTTAAATTAATTTTTTGCACTGTAGAAATTTTAGTGTACACTTAAGTAGGTTTGTTTGAAAACTGTGAGAAAATAATTATAGTCACAATGAGGTAAATTATTTTACTGTTCATGTACTGTGAAATAGGGTGTTATAGAGCCAAAAAAGTCTGTTTTGTTCTATAACTATATATTTATTTATATTCTAGCAGTTATATGAACGTAATTTGAGCTGGGAATGCTAAAGGTGTAATTTGGTATATGCCTTGTACCAAGAGCCAATATCCTTTTGCTTTTCCCAATTGTTATTTGCCAACTCTGTATGCCGGGGGACTGGTGAAGTGAGAAATCCAGAGCAGCTTGTAAATAAGCTGAACCATTTTGCCTGACACTATAATCAGTGTCTAAAATTGTGTTTGGAGTCAAATAAGGGATCACATGATTTTAGGACCCAGCTTAAGATTAAAAAGCTTTCTGTGAGTCCAACCAATGAAATGACTGGACTAAAAAATTATGCATGTATGTTTATTTTTGGCTAAGATATTGGAAAATAGTCATAGAAAATGGGAATGGCATCTTACCATGTCCCCCATTGTAGAATATTTTGGAAAGAGTAGGACTCCATTCACTGAAGGCTTTGGCAATATAATTTCTTCATTGATTCATAATATATAGGCAGAATTATCCATGTCATGAATTGCGAACTAGTTTGAAGTGTGGTCCAAAGGGATGTTGCCTCCGTGAAGGTCAGATTCAATAAAAACTCCATCTGGTATATGTGTATCAGAAAAGCACAGGAGTTGGATGGATTTTTTATTAAATCAAACCTTAAACTTGTTAAATAGTTTTGCATTTTTATAAATTATAGTCATGGTTATAATGTTTTAGTACCACCACAAAAATACTTGGTTTAGGAATACTTTCTTTTAAAACTGAGATAGTGTGTAAGTTTTTAGATGGCTGTAATGACATACAAGCTCTAAGTTACTGATTTTATATATTTACAGCTTTCCAGTTAGTTGTGATTTATAATTTAATGTTTTGCTTTTGGAAAATAAAATTAAATGGCATTTAGAAAATTAAGTCTTTATTACTGTGAGGCTGTGTTGTGGTTTCCCACCCTCCCTTCACCTTTCCTTCCCTTCCCACTCCCCTACCCCCATTGCCCCACTCCCTCTTAATGCATAAGGCATTAACATATGCTCCAGGTTGCTTTTTTGGTATTAAATTCGGTATTAGTCAGCAGAATAATCTTTTTCGGCACAATTATAGTAGTTTAGGTCAAGTGTAGTTTTATATAGTGGTAGGTCTGAATCCATTTTCTTTAACTGTGTTGTTGTTGTAGGAATTTGCTCGCCCTGATACATCGAATGATAGAGTTTGTTGTACGTGAAGGGCCAATGTTTGAAGCTATGATTATGAACAGAGAAATCAACAATCCTATGTTCAGGTGTGCATTTTTAAAAATTGTGGTAAAATACATGTAACAAAATTTGCCATTTTAACCATTTTTAATTGTACAGTTCAATAGCATTAAGTACATTTACATTGTTGTGCACCATCCATCTTCAGAACTTTTTTCATCTTCCAAAACTGAAACTCTGTACCCATTAAATAATAACTCTCCATTGCCCTGGTCGCCCAGTTCCTGGCAGCTACCATTGTGCTTTCTGTTGGTATGAATTTGATTATTCTGGGTACCTCATATGAATAGAATATTTGTCCTTTTGTGACTGGCTTATTTCACTTAGCATATAATGTCCTAAAGGTTCATCCATGTTGTAGCATGTGTGAGAATTTCCCTCTTTTTAAAGGCTGAGTAATATTCCATTGTATGTATTTACCCTATTTTGTTTATCTTCAGGTATGCATTTTAAAACACTTTTAATTTTCGGGGGGAATTAAAAATATTTCCAGGGATAAAGTTCTAAAGGATTAGTTTTACAATGGGATGAGAAGACAGTTTTAGTCATCATAGAGTAAAATGTACTTAGGTCAGTCTTCTATCAGATTTTGATTTAGTTAACTAAATAGCATTGTTTTCTAGCATTCTCTAGGAGGAAAATACTTTTCATTATGCTTTTCAGTGAAAACTGTAACAAATCTTTCATAAGTGAGATTATAGTCAAACAAATGAATTTTAAAGGAAATTGTTTTGAAATCTAAGACACCAATTTAAAACTCTTAAGTAGTGTAAAATCGCTGCTTTTGTAATTACGCATTGGGAAAAATTTCTCTATTGCCAGCCAGAGTATCTGATACATGAGTGTTCAATAAAAATGATCCTAAGACTCAGCAAGATGCATGCCCTGTGAGTGTTAATGTCAGTCACTAAGGCAGTCTAGGGCAGGGCAAAGAAGGAGATAGGTAGTGAGCGGGTGGCAATGTGCGAGGATTTCTTTTCAGGGGTCTTTGCTTTCAGTTTTATTTAGAACTAAATAGGCAGATAATATTTCTCATTTATTTATGTTTAATTAAAGATAGCTCTTTACTAAAGAATATGATATTTAATGTTTTTTGTTTGTTTGTTTAGGTTCTTATTTGAAAACCAGACACCAGCCCATGTTTACTATAGGTGGAAGCTTTATTCTATTCTGCAGGCAAGTAGAATCAATTACTTTGCTAAGTCTGACTGTGAGTTATTAGACCTTTCTAATAACTTTCTGGTTGTTTATTAGGGAGATTCTCCAACTAAGTGGCGGACAGAAGATTTTCGTATGTTCAAAAATGGATCTTTTTGGAGGCCACCACCATTAAATCCATACCTGCATGGGATGTCAGAAGAGCAAGAAACAGAAGCTTTTGTAGAGGAGCCTAGTAAAAAGGGAGCACTTAAGGAAGAGTAAGACATTTTTCCTTTCTGTTATATATTCAGAAAAGTTGCCTTAATGGTTGCTTTAATTAATGGTCTTACTAAGATGTTAACCCTAAAATAAAGTGATTTTTTTACTTGTGATTTTTTAAAATAGTAACATCTTTCATCAGATGCTTTACAATTATAAACATCTTGGCAAATAACAAGTGTATGTCCTATTGACCTTGACCTCTTCATACTGATGAAATTAGTGATGATCTCTTAAACATGGTTGACTTCTTTCTGTAATGTTGGAATACTTCAGATTCTTACAGAAATTATTTGGGTACTGTTAGTATTCTTGCTTCTCTGAATGCAGCATAAGGAGGAAAAATTACTGGATGGCTAGTGGGATCAAATGTTGACTGTGAAAAGCCTCTGCGTAGAGTTTGCAGTGAGCTTTGAAATGGCCACCATGGAGGCATATGATGATATTAGTGCTCACTTAGCACTGATGCAGTGCAGTTAGCATGGTTTAAGAAGTAGAAACTTATTTATTAAATGTTTAGAAAACATTCTGTATACCTCATGGGAAAAAAATTGGCTAAAAGAATTTTTAGAATGTGGAATTACATACAGGCATTCTACATTTTATTGCGCTTATTGCACTTCACTGACATTTCATTTTTCACAAATTGAAGGTTTGTGGCAACCCTATCTTGATTAAGTCGCTTGGTGTCATTTTTCCAGCAACACGTGCTCACTGTGTCACATTTTGGTAATTCTCACAATACTTCAGACCTTTTCATTATTGCTATTATGTTTCTGTCATGGTGATCTGTGATCAGTGATCTTTGATATTACTATTGTAATTGTTTTGGGGTACTATGTCCTGTAAGATGGTGAACTTACTAAATGTTTGTGTTCTCACTGCTCCACCAACCTGCTGTTTCCCCATCTCTCTCCCTTGCTTTGGACCTCCCTATTCGCTGACACACAATATTGAAATTAGACCAATTAATATTAACATAACCCTACAGGCCAGGCGCGGTGGCTCGCACCTGTAATCCTAGCTCTCTGGGAGGCCGAGGCGGGCGGATTGTTTGAGCTCAGGAGTTCGAAACCAGACTGAGCAAGAGCGAGACCCTGTCTCTACTAAAAATTAGAAAGAAATTAATAGGACAACTAAAAAAAATATATAGAAAAAATTAGCTGGACATGGTGGTGCATGCCTGTAATCCCAGCTGCTCGGGAGGCTGAGGCAGGAGGATCGTTTGAGCCCAGGAGTTTGAGGTTGCTGTGAGCTAAGATGACGCCACGGCACTCTAGCCCGGGCGACACAGTGAGACTCTGTCTCAAAAAAAAAAACCACATAACCCTACAATGGCCTCTATCTGTTCAAGTGAAAGGAAGAGTTGCACGTCTCACCTTAAATCGGAAGCCAGAAATGAGTATGCTTAGTGAGGAAGGTGTGTTGAAGGCTGAGACAGGTCAAAAGCTAGGTCTCGAGCCAGCCAGCCAACTTGTGAATACAAAGGAAAAGTTCTTGAAGGAAATTAAAAGTGCTACTCAGCACTTTTAATAACACAAATAATAAGAAGGTGAAACATGTAATCCTGGCTACTCAAGAGGCTGAGGTGGGAGAATTGCTTGAGGCCAGGAGTTCGAGACCAGCCTGGACAACATAGCGAGACCATGTCTCTAAAAAAAAAAAATATATCAAGCAAGCCAAACAGCCTTATTGCTGATATGGAGAAAGTTTTAGTGGTCTGGATAGAAGATCAAACCAGCCACAACATTCCCTTAAGTCACAGCATAATCTAGAGCAAGGCCCTAAGTCTATTTAGTTTGCTGAAGGTACGAGAGGTGAGTGAGGAAGCTGAGGAGAAGTGTGAAGTAGCAAAGGTTGGTTCATGAGGTTTGAGGAAAGAAGTCATCTCTATAACATAAAAAGTTCAAGATAAAGTGGCAAGTGCTGATGTAGAAGCTGTAGCATGTTATTCAGAAAATCTTGCTAAGGTCATCGATGGAAGGTGGCTACGCTAAACAACAGGTTTTCAATGTGGACGAAACAGCCTTCTGTTGGAAGAAGATGCCATCTAGGACTTTCAGAGGTAGAAAGGATAAGTGAATACCTACCTGGCTTCAAAGGACAGGCTGACTCTCTTGATAGGGGTTAATGCAGCTGGTGACTTTACCATTCTGAAAATCCTAGGGCCTTTAGGAATTATTCTAAATTGATCACCTGTGCTCTCTGTAAATGGAACAATAAAGCCTGCATGACAGCACATGTGTTTATGCATGGTTAACTGAATTTTTTTTTTTTTTTTTTGAGACAGAGTCTTGCTTTGTTGCCCTCGGTAGAGTGCATTGGCGTCATCAAAGCTCACAACAACCTCAAACTCCTGGGCTTAAGCAATCCTCTTGCCTCAGCCTCCTGAGTAGCTGGGACTACAGGCACACGCCATGATGCCTGGCTAATTTTTATATTTTTAGTAGAGTTGCGGTCTCACTCTTGTTCAGGCTGGTCTCAAACTGAGCTCAAGCAGCCCTCCCACCTCAGCCTCCCAGAGTGCTAGGATTACAGGCATGAGCCACCGCGCTCAGCCATTTACTGACTATTTTAAGCCCACTGTTAAGACCCGCTGCTCAGAAAAAAAGTGCTTTCAAATACTACTGCTCATTGACAATGTACGTAGTCATCCAAGAGCTCTGATGGAGATGTACAAGGAAATTAATGTTATTTTCATGCCTGCTAACACAACGTCCATTCTGCGACCCATGGATCAAAGAGTAATTTCGACTTTCAAATCTTATTAACGTTTCATAAGGCTATAACTGCCTTAGATAGTGATTCCTCTGATAGAGTAGGACAAAGCAAGCTGAAAACCTACTGGAAAGGATTTACCATTCTAGATGCTGTGATTGATGGGAGCCAAAATACCACTATTAACAGGAGTTTGGAAGAAGTTGATTCCAGCTCTCATGGATAACTTAGAGGTTAAAGACTTCAGTTGAGGAAGTAACTGCAGATGTGAAGAAACTTACAAGAGAACTAGAATTAGAAGTGGAACCTGAAGATATGACTGAATTGCTGAAGGTCATGATCAAACTTGATTGGATTAGGAGTTGCCTACTATGTAGATGAGCAAAGAAAGTGGTTTATTGAGATGGAATTTACTCCTGGTGAAGATGCTGTGAACATTGTTGAAATGACAACAGGGGATTTATAACATTACATAAACGTGGTTTATAAAGTAGCAGCAGGGCTTGAGAGGTTGATTCCGATTTGGAGAAGTTCTGTGGTAAAGTGGTATCAAATAGCATCACATGTTACAGAGAAATCTTTCGTATAACTAGTGAAAGGAAGAGCCACCTGATACAGCAGCCTTCATTGTTGTTTATTTTAAGAAATTGCCATAGCCACTCTAACCTTCAGCAACTACCACCCTGATCAGTCAGCAGCCCTCAACATCTAAGGCAAGACCCTCCACCAGCAAAAAAGATTAAGACTTGCTGAAGGCTCAAATGATTGTTAGCATTTTTTAACGAAGTATTTTAAAAATAAGATATATACATTGTTTTTGGAGATATACTGCTCTTGCACACTTAATAGATTATAGTATAAATATAACTTTTATATGCACTGGGAAACCAAAAAATTTATATGGCTCACTTTATTACAATATTTGCTTTATTGTGATGGTCTGGAACCAAACTTTCAGTCTCTCCCATGCATGTTACTTCATTGCGGGTGTGTTACTTACTGGGTAGTCTTTAAATTGTAATACTTGTTGATGTATTGTTTAGGAGAAAATTTGCTAATGTAACATGATAGCATTTGAGTATTTGCTTCTGAAGACGTATGTTTGTTACTTTTGCTCTTGCCCGGGGACCCAGAAACTTAGCCCATAGGCTAACTGGCTGCCTTCTCCTTTGGTAAAGTCTTATTGGAACACAACCAGTCTCGTTCTTTCATGTTGTCTGTGGCTGCTTTGGTGCCATAGCAGCAGAGGAATTGACAGAGATCATGTGGCCTGCAAATCCTAAAATATTTAGTCTTATCCTTTACAGGAAAAGTTAGCCTGTCCTAATCCCATACAGAAGTGCTAAAGTAGTAGACTTCTTTCAAAGAAGGGGAGTAAAGAACATGAAGGTTGTTCAGTATAATAGGATAATAGGACTGGGGCACTCCTAATGATTCTTGAAAAAAATGCCTATAATTTAAAATTTACTTTATTTGTAAGCTGAAAAAAATCACTGAAATTATTAGTTTCAGGAAAAGTATTCTTTCTTATATAAATTCTTTAAAAAATTTTAACAAATATGGGGAATTTAACACAAATCAGACTTAATACATGTCAGTCTTCAGAATTATTTTATCTGAGTAGGTTTTAAAGAAATTTGTGAGCAGAAACTACAATGGCATTTGAATTTGTATCTGTAAATATAAGTTTATAAAAAATTTTATATTCAGACAGAGGGATAAATTAGAAGAAATCTTACGGGGATTAACTCCAAGGAAAAATGACATTGGAGATGCAATGGTTTTCTGTCTTAATAATGCTGAAGCTGCTGAAGAAATAGTGGACTGTATTACTGAGTCACTGTCCATCTTGAAGACACCCCTTCCTAAAAAGGTATGAGAATGACTTCTCTTTGTGAACATTTAATTAAGAAAAGGGATGGTACTAGTTGACTTGTTTTTGGATTGGCTTTGGTTTCCTTTTTGCAATACAGAGCTTGTCTGACAGAGTCTTTCCCATGTAGTCTGTTACTTTTGCCTGGAAAACTTACGTTCATTGACATACAAGTTATCAACAAGTGAAATATAAATGAGTTTTAACAAATTTTTTCTCTGCTAAAGTCATGGTTGTGATGATGTTGAATTTCATATAACTCTTCTGATTAGTAGTGTGATTATTAAATTATAGCTAAGCATTAGCCTTATACTACTGATTATAAGAAATGACAATGCAGAATTTTTTTAGATGTATTATTGGCTACTGGTTTTTATTTTTAATCCATTTTGTTTTATCTTTTGGTGTTATAGATTGCCAGATTATATTTGGTTTCTGATGTTTTATACAACTCTTCAGCCAAAGTTGCCAATGCTTCATATTACAGAAAATTGTAAGTATAATGATGTAAGGTGATATTCCTGAAATAAAATATTTAAGCATAAGGAGTTCAGAGAAGTGGATTGTTTTGTTAACACCCTCCAATAATAAGCAATAAAGTCAGCTCTCTGTGTCTGCGGCTTCTGCATTTGTGGATTCAACCAACCACGGAGTGAAAATATTTGAAAAAAAATTGTGTCTGTACCAAACATGTATGGACTTCCTTTGTCATTTTCTAAACAATACAGTATAATTATGTAGCATTTGCATTGTATTAAGTATTATAAGTATTTAGAGGTGATTTAAAGTATATGGGAGAATGCGCATAAGTTGTATGCAAATATTATGCCATTTTATATCAGGGACTTGAGCATCTGCAGATTTTGGTATTTGTGGGAGGTCCTAGAACCAATCCCCCATGAGTACTGAGGAAAGAGTATTCGGAAATTTGAATTTCTTCATGATTTGTAGAATTTTTTTTAAGAATTGGCTTGCATTCATAGAACAAACCCACTCTAAGCTAAATTATGAATATTTTGGAAAGTTTTCATTCATTTCATATCAATTTCTTAATTATTGACATTAGAACAAATAGCCAGAGTTAAAAATAACTTTATTGCATATTTAGCTACTTGTGTAATAAATAAATAAATAAACTGAAACAATACATATAATGGCAAACATAATACAAGAGACCAAAGATCCAACATTAACTGTTTATAGAATCTGTATTCTCGTCTGATCATCCTTGTATTGATTGGGGTTCATTGTTAATGTTTTCTAAGATGGTAGGAAATTATGTTGCCAGATTGTGATTAATATATAATTCTTCCCGAGTTCCCTTTCTGTGTCTATTTTATAAATTAGTTTCAGGGAATCTTTTCCTAGGAACTGATGTTGAAAGGAAATTTAGAGATGTGGGGTCTGCTATTAGTTTTTTGCCTTGAACAAGTCACTTAACTTTTCTAAGTTTCCTATTTCATAAAATAAACTGGACTAGATGGTTCAGAGTATCCTAGATGTAAAGTTCCTTGCCTGTAAAGGGAACTAATACTTAAGATGCTTAGGGAATTTGCAGGAGAAAAATTCAGAATAAAAGTTAAAGCAATTCAGTTATGGTTTTAGAGTTTAAACATCTAGTTCTTGCTTTTTAAATAATTTAATTGATTGTTTATA